GTGGAATGTGAATGGAATGTTTCAGGATGGATACAATTTTGAACAGGGAGTAGGGCAAAGAGCCTGATTGAGTAACTTAGGTGTATTTGGAAGGTGGAGTGGAGACAAGGATGCTCTAGAGTTGAGTTTGGATTGGGAGGAATAGAGATGGTATAGGTGAATTTTAAATGCCAGGAAACTGAGCATCTTAATCTCCAGGATTTTATTCTGTCTTCATTTAATCTCCATGATGATCTCGGTTTCTCTTCCTTTTCTAACTTCTTGCCTGTCCTTTTTGAGATTCAATACACTGATTAATTATACAGAATGTTCCAGGAAGAGGTAAAGCACTGTTTGGTCCAAGAATATGTTAACAAATTCTGTTTGGGCTCTGATACCTTTGCAGATGAAGGCCATCATTTATCTTGGCCTTTCTGGCTGTGCCAGCACACTCGGCTGACATCTTTAAAGAACAGTGCACTATGATTTTAAATTTTCTTTCCTGGAAAGTAATTGATGGTCTTTGGCCCTTAAACCTACATAATTGAGATTGCCTTTTTTTTTTTTTTTTTGATAGATTACCGGAATGTGGTAATACTCTTTTAACGAGAGAAGCTAAGGATCTAAAAATAGGAGGTGTCTTGTTTTTCTACGCAACATCACCTAATTTGACTGGCCTGTTGACATCCTCCTGAAATTTATTCTCTGATCTTTATATTGTACTACAAAGAGGCTTGTGAATTGGAGAGTTCACGTGTACTCATCTTAGCATATTTGCAAGTATTAAAAGGCAAATCAGTGGCCATTTGATGTTTTTGTTTGTTTTAATTTTTTTGTTTAAGGCTTTTCTCTGTAAGCTAAACTTTCACATTACTCTTTGATCCCTCTTATTTTCTCTCTCCTTTCCTCTGCTGAAGACACTGTAAACACATTAAAGTCACATTGTTTGTATTTCTGTAGTTGTCTATGGAATGGTTTGTTTACAGGGAAGTTTAGAGAGTAGAGATTTTTCTAGCTAAAAAGGTAGGGGACGTATCCGTAACTAAAAAGTTGTGCACAAGAACGTTGCTTCCGGAATCTTCGTAAAAATCAATGTGAAAATGATTGAATTGGCTACATTTTTATTTAAAAGCAACTTTAAGGTCGCTTGTGTTATGTCAAATAAGACACATAGTAAACTTGTATTTTCTAAATGTTGGGTAAGGAATAAATTACAAAAATGGGAGGGAGATAGAAAACCATTCCTTGGGCACTGAGTGTGTGCTGGGTAGCATTCTAACATTTGCAAATCTACCACTGCTAGTATTATCACCCAGGAATTGTGTTAAAAGGGCTTTTTACACATTGTTCCATTTATACCTCCCAACCCTCTTAAGATTACTTAATTTACTTCTAAAAAGGTGATAGATGCACATGGTACTAATTCAGAAAGATACAAAAAGGTTGGCAGTAAAAACTAAATTTCTTTGCAGCCGGGTCTTCCAGCCATCTGGTTCCTTTCCAAACCACTTGTTACTGGTGTCTTGTGTATTCTTTCAGAGATATCTTATAAGTGCGTAGATATAATTATATATGCATATGTAGATATGTTTATTTTAGTTTTTTACAGAAACGGTGGCATATCATGCATACAGTTCTACATTTTTTTTCAATGAATGTTTTAGAGTTTGTTTCATGTTGGTGGATATAGAACTGCTTCATTCTTTTTAACAGGTGTATTGTAATTTATTTAACCAGTCCCCTGTTAATAATAATACTTTTTCTTTGAATAGGTAAGTGCAGCCCATGACATTTATTGGAATGATTAGTATATTTAGATTTAGTTCTATTTTCAATATTTTCTTTAAAAAATGTTTCACTATAAGGACTGTACTTGCTTTTGGAGGTGGATGTGCATGTATGTATTTTGTTAATTTGGAAGGCTTACCCTTTTATTTTAGTGATTATGTTTATAAGTATAACTTTATACTATGTTTCTTCAGATAATACTTGTTGGCTCCCTAACATGAACAATGATGAAATGAGTAGTTACATTTCCTGCCCTCTCCCCACCTCATTTTAATTGGCTATATTATTCTTCTTAGGTTTATTTTATATCTTAAAACGTACTTAGGTCTCTATTACGTGAGCTATCAGCCTTTAATGTCTTTTGAGCCTTGTTGGTAAAAGATGAGGAAATCAATGTACATACTTACATAATTTGCCAAATACATTATTTTAACATTTTTTTGTATATAATGGCAATATATACTTTTAAATTTTATTTTTCAATTACTGTTGACATTTGATATTATTTTATATTAGTTTCAGATGTATGACATAATGGTTAGACAAGCATATAATTTATAAAGTGATTCCCCTGGTATTTCAAATACCATACTTTGTTATTAAAATATTATTGACCGTATCCCCTGTGCTGTATTTTATATCCCCTTGACAAGCCCATAACTACCCATTTGTACTTCTGAATCCCTTCACCTTTTTCACCGCTCCTTCAGCCCCTTCCCCTCTGGCAACCATCACTTTGCTGTATCTACATTTCTTTTCTGTCTTGTTAGTTCACTAATTTTGTTGTTTAGATTCCACATGTAAGTAAAATCATGGTATTTGTCCTTCTCTGACATATTTCACTGAGCGTATTACTGTCTAGGTCCATCCGTGCCACTGCAAATGGTAAGATTTCATTTGTTTTTATGGCCAAGTATTATTCCATTATAGATATGTACCACAACTTCTTTATCCACTCATCTGTTGATGGGCACTTGGGTTGCTTGCATATCTTGGCTGTTGTAAATAATGCTGCAATGCACATAAATCTTTTTGAATTTGTATTTTGGGGTTTCTTCAGATATGTACCCAGAAATGGACTTGCTGGATTATAAAGCAGTTCCATTTTTACTTTTTTGAGGAACGTTCACACTGCTTTCCACAGTGGTTGCACCAATCTGCATTCCCACCACCAGTGCATGAGCAGTCCCTTTTCTCTATCCTCACCACCACTTGTTTCTTATTTATTGGTGATGGCCATTCTGACAGTTGTGAGGTGATATCTCATATGGTTTTAATTTGCATTTCTTTTATGATTCGTGACGTTCATCACATTTTCATATGTCCATTTGGCGATCTGTATGTCCTCTTTGGAGAAGTGCCTGTTCGGACCCTCTGCTCATTTTTTAATGGGATAGTTTGTTTTTGGTTACATTTTCTTCTGTAACCATAAAGCCTCAAATTTAAAATTTGTCTTAAAGTTAAATGAATTAAATGCTCTCCACTACTCTTTTTGCCACTGTTTCTACATTTATCTCATTAATTGAAGTTTTCCTTCTAGTACCCATATTCCCTGAGTTCTTACATGTAGAAACATATTTTCTATCACCTTTGTACTTAGATAGCAGTTTGGCTTGGTACATAATTATTCTTGGGTCACCTTTGTGTGTGTGTGAACTATTACAGAAAAGAAACAATTGTGTGGTATGATAACTTGATAATCACAATCTGAACACCCCACAAGTGTCCCCATGTGTCCGTTCTTTATCACACCTCCCTACTTCCGCAGAGACAACGACATTCTTTCAGGTCAATCACTCTTTGCTTTCTTTATGATGTTACCACTACGGATGCATGCCTAAATAAGAGAAATCAATTTTGCCAGTTTTTTAAGTGTTTTTTTAAAATTGTTGACACAGTAACAGATGTCCCCCACTTTTCCCCCTGACTTTGCCCACCTCCACCCAGACCTTGTCCTCCCTTCCCTCTGGCCCTTACCGCACTGTTGTCTGTGTCCATGGGCTATGCATATACGTTCTTTGGCTAATCTCCCTCCCTCCCTGCCTCCCTGAAACATTTTCTTTTAAGATTATTTATTTATTTTTAGACAGAGGGGAAGGGAGGGAGAAAGATAGGGAGAGAAACATCAATGTATCATTGCCTCTCACCGTGCCCCTTACTTGGGACCTGGCCCGCAACCCAGGCATGTGCTTTGACTGGGAATCGAACCAGCGGCCCTTTGGTTTGTAGGCTGGGGCTAAATCTATGGAGCCATATTAGCCAGGGCTCTCTTCACCTTATTCCTCCAGTCCACATCCCTTGCCAGTTTTTGAGGTGTATATAAATAGAATCATACAGTGTTTACTCTTTCATCCTTCACTTCTTTTATGTGCAACATGACATTTCTAAGATTCATTCACATTGTTACTTACAGTTCTACTTATATTTATGTTGTTGTATAGTATTCTGTTATATGAATATATTAGTTTGTTTCTTGATGGACTCTTGGGTTATCTCTGTTTTGGGGCTAAAAGGAGGCATAATGTTATGAATAGTTTTATGTATGTCTCCTGGTACATCTCTCTCCCTCCCCCTCCCTCCGTCTCCCTCTCCCTCTCCCTCTCCCCCTCCCCCGCCCCTCCCCTTCCCCCTCCCCCTCCCCTTCCCCCTTCCCCTCCCCCTCCCTCATATTTGAGAGTGAAAATACTAGGTCTTAGGCTATATACATTTTGTGTTTCCTAGCTATGGCCAAACTGTTTTTTGAAGTGGGTTGTATTACTTTATATCCCCACCAGCAATCTGTGAGAGTTCTTTGGGTCACCTTCCCTTGATATGTAGCATTGTTCCTTGTCTTTGAGCCCAAATGACCCTTTGGGTAGGTGGTATTGTACTTCTGTTTTACAGATGAGAAAACAGGTTCAAAGTGGTCAAGTAATTTGGTACAAATTTATAGAGGTAGTGGATGCCACAACTGACATGTGAGCTCTGCTTTTCAGCGTTAAAGTCTATTATCTTTACATGCTATCTTTTTAACACGTAAGACTTCCTCATACCAGATAAGGCACTGAAACTTCACCAGGGAAGGTGGTTATTGTCTGGCTTTTTTTTTTAAAGAGTAGGTTGCTGTCTTTTGGGGCTGGATTGGATATAGTTGTTCATGGAGGTGATCTATTTCTCAAAGTCCCTTCAAATTTTCGATGTAGATGGTACCCAACATACTTAGTGTCCTGACAATTTACTTCTCTTGCTTTTAGCATCCAGCCTGTGTATGGAGCACAGCACCCTCCTCTGGACCCTCGGCTCACCAAAAAGTAAGTCAAGTTGTTGTTCCTTTACTTTTTAAAAAATTATATTTTATTGAGTATGTTATTACAGTTGTCCCAATTTTTCCCCCTTTGCCCCCGCTCCACCCAGCATTCCCCACTCCCTCAGGCAATCCCTACACCATTGTTCACGTCCATGGGCCATGTGTATAAGTTCTTTGACTACTCCATTTCCTATACTGTACTTTATGTCCCCATGACTATTCTGTAACTACCTATTTGTACTTCTTAATCCCCTGACCTCTTCACCCATTCTGCCCTCCCCCTTCCATCTGGGAACCATCAAAACCCTCTCCATATCCATGATTATTTCTCTGTTCTTGTTTGCTTAGTTGGTTTTTTAGATTCAGTTGTTGAAAGATAGGTATTTATTGCCATCTTATTGTTCATAGTTTTGATCTTCTTTTTCTTAAATAAGTTCCTTTAATATTTCATACAATAATGGCTTGGTGATCATGAATTCCTTTAGTTTTTCCCTGTATGAGAAGGTCTTTATCTGCCCTTTGATTCTAAATCATAGCTTTGCTGGGTAGGACAATCTTGGCTGTAGGTCCCTGCTTTTTATGACTTTGAATATGCCTTGCCAATCCCTTCTAGTCTGCAAAGTTTCTTTTGAGAAATCAACTGGCAGTCTTATGGGAACTCCCCTGTTGGTAACTTTACCTCTTTTCTCTTGCTGCTTTTAAGATTCTTTCTTTAACCTTTGGCATTTTAATTATGATGCGTCTTGGAGTGGGGCTCTTTGCAGCCATCTTGTTTGGGACTCTGCTTCCTGGACTTTCATGTCTGTTTCCTTTACCAAATTAGGGAAGTTTTCTTTCATTACTTCTTCAAATAGATTTCCAATTTCTTGTTCTTTCTCTTCTTCTGGCACCCCTATGACACAAATGTTGCAATGTTTGAAGTTGTCTCAGAGGCTGCTTACACTATCTTCATTTTTTTTGGATTCTCTTTTCTTCTTATTGTTCTGATTGGTTGTTTTATGCTTCCTTATGTCCCAAATCATTGATTTGATTCTCAGCTTCATCCACTCTACTGTTGTTTCCCTGTAAATTGTTCTTTATTTCAATTAGTGTATCCTTCATTTCTGACTGGATCTTTTTTATACTGTTGAGGTCCCCACTAAGTTTCTTGAGCATCCTTGTAACTAGTGTTTTTTTTTTAAATTTTATTTTAATTTATTTTTTCAAATACATTTGCCTCTGTCTACCCCCCACCACTTTCCCTTGCCCCCTTCCTCCTTCCCTCCCTCAGCTCTTCCCCTTTGGTTTTGTCCATGAGTCCTTACTATATGTTCCTTGACTTTCCCCTTCCCTTCCTTTTCCCCGCCCCCCCCCCTTCCCTCTTGTCTCTGTTGATTTCTTTTCCTTTCAGTGTTGCTGGTCATATTTTCCTTGCATCTTTGTATTGTTGGTTAGGTTCCACTTATAGGTGAGATCATATGGTATTTGTCTTTCGCCCCCTGGCTTATTTCGCTTAGCATAATGCTCTCCAGTTCCATTCATGCTGTCGCGAAGTTTAGTAGTTCTTTTTTTCTTTCTGCTGCGTAGAATTCCATTGTGTATATGTACCATAAGTTTTTGATCCAATCATCTACTGATGGGCATTTAGGTTGCTTCCAACACTCGGCTATTGTAAATTTTGCTGCTATGAACATTGGGGTGCATAGGTTCTTTTGTATTCTTAGGCATTTTGGTATTCTTAGGGTATAGTCCCAGCAGGTGAATCACTGGATCAAAAGGCAGTTCCCTTTTCAGCTTTTTGAGGAAATTCCACACTGCTTTCCACAGTGGCTGCACCAGTCTGCATTCCCACCAACAGTGGACTAGGGTTCCCTTTTCTCCACAGCCTCGCCAGCACCTGTTGTTTGTTGATCTGTTTATGATGGCCATTCTGATCGGTGGGAGGTGGTACCTCATGGTGGTTTTGATCTGCATTTCTCTGATGGCTAGTGATGCCGAGCATCCTTTCAAATGCCTCTGGGCCCTCTGTATCTCCTCCTTGGAAAAGCGTCTGCCCAGGCCCTTTGCCCATTTTTTGATTGGATCATTTGTCTTCTTGGAGTTGAGTCGAGTGAGTTCTTTATATATCTTGGAGATCAAACCTCTATCTGATGTATCATTAGCAAATATATTTTCCCATATGGTTGGCTCCCTTTTCATTTTGCTGATGTTTTCTTTTGCCGTGCAGAAGCTTCTTATTTTGATGAGGTCCCACTTGTTTATTCTTTCCTTTATGCCCCTTGCTTTAGGAGACATATCAGTGAAAAAATTGCTGCGTGGGATATCTGAGAGTTTCCTGCCAATGTTCTCCTCTAGGACTTTGATGGTGTTGCGACTTATATTTAAGTCTTTTATCCACCTTGAGTTTCTTTTCGTGTATGGTGTCAGCTGATGATCCAATTTCAATTTTTTGCATGTAGCCATCCAGCTCTCCCAACACCATTTGTTGAAGAGGCTATTATTGCTCCATTTTATACTTCTGCCCCCTTTGTCAAATATTAGATGTCCATAGAGACCTGGGCTTATTTCTGGGCTTTCTATTCTGTTCCACTGGTCTATGGGTCTGTTCTTGTGCCAGTACCAGATTGTTTTGAGTATAGTGGCTTTGTAGTAGAGTTTGATGTCCAATATTGTGATCCCTCCTACTTTGTTTTTCTTTCTCAAAATTGCTGCGGCTATTCGGGGTCGTTTATGGTTCCATATAAATTTTTGAAATGCCTGTTCTATTTCTGTGAAATGTGTCATTGGTATCTTAATAGGGATTGCGTTGAATCTATAAATTGCTTTGGGTAGTATGGACATTTTGATGATATTAATTCTTCCAATCCATGAGCACGGTATATACTTCCATTTATTTGTGTCTTCCTTAATTTCTTTCTTTAATATTGTATAGTTTTCTGCATACAGGTCTTTTACGTCTTTGGTTAAATTTATGCCTAGGTACTTTATTTTTCTTCTTGCTATATCAAATGGTATTTTTTTTCTGATTTCTTCTTCTTCTATTGCATTGCTGGTGTACAAAAATGCCTTTGATTTCTGAATATTGACTTTGTATCCTGCTGTTTTGCCAAATTCACTTATTAGGTAGGTTGAGGAGTTTTTTGGTATAGTCCACAGGGTTCTCTATGTACACTATCATGTCATCTGCAAACAATGATAGCTTTACTTCCTCCTTTCCTATTTGGATGCCTTTTATTTCTTTCTCTTGTCTGACCGCTGTGGCTAGGACTTCCAATATGATGTTGAAAAGAAGCACTGAGAATGGACATCCTTGTCGTGTTCCCGATCTTAGTGGGAAAGCTTTCAGTTTTTGCCTGTTAAGTATTACATTGGCTGTAGGTTTTTCATAGATGACCTTTATTATGTTGAGGAATGCCCCATTTATTCCCATTTTGCTGAGTGTTTTGATCATAAATGGGTGCTGTACCTTATCGAATGCTTTTTCTGCATCTATCGAGATGATCATGTGGTTTTTGTCTTGTCTTTTATTTATGTGATGTATCACGTTTACTGATTTTTGTATATTGAACCATCCCTGCATGCCTGGGATGAATCCCACTTGATTGTGGTGGATAATCTTTTTAATGTATTGCTGGATGCGGTTTGCCAATATTTTGTTGAGGATTTTAGCATCTATGTTCATCAGCGAAATTGGCCTATCGTTTTCTTTCTTTGTAGGGTCTTCATCTGGTTTTGGGATCAGGGTGATGCTGGCCTCATAGAAAGAGTCTGGGAGTCTTCCCTCCTCTTGGATTTTTTGGAATAGTCTGAGAAGGACAGGGGTTAGCTCTTCCTTAAATGTTTTGTAAAATTCTCCTGTGAAACCGTCCGGCCCTGGGCTTTTGTGTGCCAGGAGTTTCTTGATTACTGCTTCAATTTCCCCAGCTGTTATCGGTTAGCAAATGGGCATGAGAAAAAGGCTGGGGTTGCCATACTTGTATCAGACAAAGTAGATTTCAAAGCAAAGGCCATAAAAAGAGACCCAGAGGGGCACTTTATAATACTTAAAGGAAGAATCTATCAAGAGGACATCAACATTGTAAACTTATATGCTCCCAATAGAGGAGCCCCCAAGTTTATAAGGAAATTGTTGGATGACTTCAAAAAAGATATAGACAGCAACACACTGATAGGGGATTTCAGCACCCCACTGTCAAAAATGGACAGATCTTCCAAACAAAACATTAATAAACATATTGTGGCGCTGAATGACACACTGAATCAAAGAGACTTAACTGACATATATAGAACCTTACATCCCAAAGAAGAAAAATACACATTCTTTTCAAATGCTCATGGCAGTTTTTCAAAGATAGACCACATGATAGGACACAAAGCAAACCTCAGCAAATTCAGGAAAATTGAAATAATACCAAACTTTTTCTCAGACCACAAGGGCTTGAAACTGGAAATCAACCTCAAAGAGAAACTTCAAAAACTTGCAAACTCATGGAGACTGAACAGTAGACTATTAAACAATGAATGGGTCAATAATGAGATAAGAGAAGAAATGAAAAAATTTCTGGAAACAAATGAAAATGAACAGACAACAGTCCAAAACCTATGGGACACAGCAAAGGCAGTCCTGAGAGGGAAGTTCATAGCAATACAGGCCTACCTAAAAAAGATAGAAACATTTCAAATAAAAGACCTAACATTACAACTCCAAGAGCTGGAGAAACAACAACAAATAAATTCCAGAACAAGTAGAAGGAAGGAAATAGTCAAGATTAGAGCAGAACTGAATGACATAGAGACAAAAAGGACAATTCAGAGGATCAACCAATCCAGAAGCTGGTTCTTTGAAAAGATAAATAAAATTGACAAGACTTTAAGCAGACTCATCAAGAATAAAAGGGAGAGGACCCAAATTAATATATCAGAAATGAAAGAGGAGAAATAACAACTGATACCACAGAAATACAAAGGATCGTCAGAAACTACTATGAACAATTATATGCCAAGAAATTTAAAAATCTTGATGAA